CCTATTATATGATCATTGGTTTTCCCCAAGTCACTTACCCAATTCCAGTAACTCATGGACATCTTCCTTTTGGTCCTCCCCAAGTTAAACTTCAGTAAGAGACAACCAAGAACTCATGAATACATATATATTTATTTAATTCATAATATAGCATTTTGGATGGACTGGGATATTTTAGAGAGGGATGAAGCTGTGTAATCCACAGATGCTCACATTTCTGTTACTAAGAGAGACACTATTGGTCCAGAGCTCCCAGTACAAACAGGCCTGGAGTAAAGCATTTGATTAAAAAAAAAGTCCAGCAATAGTCTAATAAATATTCTAGCCAATAACAACAATACAGCATATGTCTGAAGCTGGCAGACCACACCATAAAAGTCAGTTTTGCCTGACCTGATGGCAAATCAATCTGTCCAACCTGTAATACACAGCCAAATACAGCCCAATGGCTCCGAGGCTGCAATTGGCTTCAGGAGCTAGCAATAAGTGTAGGAATGGTTCTTATCTATCAGTCACACAGTCTCCATTCTTTGGAGGAAAGGGTATCAAATATTGAGCTTATTCAAAAGTCCTTCCATGGATTGCTCCACCCAGGTAGTCATATATAAATATGTAAACCATGGAAGCTTAGAGAATTCATCTAGTGTGTTTTAGCTGAAAAGAATGTATAAGTGATTTTGCTGCAATCTGAATTTCACTGCATCCAAAGATCCACAATAGAATAAAAATACATCCAGATGCAGTTACACTTACTTACAAGTAGCCAGAACCTCAACATGGCATTAAAATGTCTTTCGTATTTGCAAAACAAGTTTAACTTTATTTTTGATTATATTGTGCTTTTTTCAATAAGACAATATAAAAAGAGGAAACAAGCATAAATTGCAGACATAAAATACTTTTCTAGTAGAAAGGGTTATGGAGAATAGATTGAGTAAAGCAACAACAACAAAAGCTTATGGAGTCACCTTCCTTGAAGACGTTAAACACAGGTCCTATCCTCTTTGTCCAACTGGATTTAGTTAGAGGTAGTCAATGACTTGTCAGGGGTCTGTGAAAGTCAACTTTACTGAAGTAAATATCTGGGACTCATCACACCCCCACTGAGTACTTTGTCACCACTTTGTATCTTAGAGATCACTTTTTATTATTTGGTTCAGAAGTTGGAGCTCAAGAGTCAAACTTCATTGCTTACCCCAAACCCAGTTTAATTTCCTACTTTATTGAGTAGGCTTAGCTCTGAGTAATGTTCGGCTATAACCAAAATTTAAATTTATCTTCAAAGAGCAAAATTTGAAAAGACTGAAATGTTATTGAAAATAATAGTGCCACAAACTCCAAAGACAATTCCCCAAGATAGCGTCCAAAGACTTTGAGAAGCAAAATGCTCATTTATATGTATGAGCCCTTGTATCTATGCAAAATATTATCAATATAGCCCCAATGCAATGGTAACCAAGCTTTTCTGCCCAGGAAATAACAAATATCACTATGGACATCAGAGTACAGTAGGGGAACTGTGGTAATTCATTTGTTCATTTATACATTCATTTAATAAACATTAGCCAGGCAACCACTCTGTTCCTGATACTGTGCTAGGTATTAAAAATACAACAATAAGAACAATAAAAGACACTCCTTGCCCTCAAAGTATTCACAGTCTAGTAGGGAAGATTATTATTATACATTCAACTTTTGTGTACATTAGAATCACATGAGGAGCTTGTAAAAAATGTACATTTTAACCTATAGACCCAGATATTCTAATTAAGTAGGTCAGGAGTGGGATCCCCAAATCAGTCTTTTTAACAAACACCAAAGGTGATTCTAACATGAGTGGTCTGAGGACCACACTTTGAAAAACAACGCTATACAATGTGATTATTGCTGAGAGAGGTGGATGCTCAGGATGATAGGAACTCTAAAGAGGAACACATAGCCCAGTCTAGGGGGTCAGGAATTTGTCTAGTTGAGAGGGGATAGGGGAGGAGAAAGGTAGGTAGTCCAGGGTAGAGTCAAAAGTAGGATGGGAATATTAGAGCCTTGTCCCAGAGCACTACAATCTAAAGAACACAAAAATAAATAGCTTTGGAGAGCCAAGGGCAAGGCAAAGGAAATTGGATTAGGATGTAGGTGAAATGTTCTCTACTTAGAGCATTTTCACGCTATTCCCTTAATTTAAAAAAAATCCTGGCAGTGGGGGACAGTGGCTCACACTTGTAATCCCAGCATTTTGGAAGGCTGGAGGATTGCTTGAGGGTAGGAGTTTGAGACCAGCATGTCTACAAAATAAAATTAAATTAACCAGCCATGGTGGTGTGCACCTGTAGTCCCAGCTACTTGGGAAACTGAAGCAGGAGGATCCCTTGACCCCAGGAGTTTGAGGCTGCAGTGAACTATGATTAGCCTGGGCAACAGAATGACACACCGTGTCTTTAAAAAAAAAAAAAAGGGCAGGCACAGTGGTTTACACCTATAATCCCAGCACTTTGGGATTATATAGGTGAGAGGATTGCCCGAGCCCACGGGTTCAAGTCCAGCCTGGGAAACTTGGCGAGACCTCATCTCTACAATAAATCAAAAAATAAAATTAACTGGGCATGGTGATGCACGCTTGTAGTCCCAGCTACTTGGAAGGCTGAGATAGAAGGACCACCTGAGTCCAGCAGGTCCAGGCTGCGGTAGCCGTGAGCATGCCACTGCACTCCAGCCTGGGCGACAGAGTGAGACTTCAACTCAAAAAAAGAAAAGAAAAGAAAGAAAGAAAAGAAAAAAAATTCCTATTGTTTACTCTGAGCATTAAAATTGTTAATAATGTCTCTGCTTCAGGACCAGAGAACAATTTGTGTAAATAGTTAAAGTTGCCTAGAGTAACCAAGGTGAAGAGGAAAGTAACAAAAGACAAGCTGGGGAAGCAAACAGGGACATGAAAAACCAAACCGAAAGCAGTTGGGACTTTCCACTGAGTGCTAAGGGAGACAGTGAAAGGTCTTATGAAGGGGAAGGTCATTTATTTTGCTTAAAAATTTGGGGATATATTCCAGGGGAGGGACAAGGGTAACTGAGAAATGAAGAGCACACATTTTAAAGCACTGCTATGCTATACTGGAGCTGGGAGTGGGGGATAAAATTAATATTTATGGCACACTTAGTATGCCATAAATTCCAGGTGCTATGTTAGACAGTTTACACGTGCTATCTTTTTAAATCTTTGAGACAGCCTTGTGAAGTAGACATTATTTTACAGAAGAGGAAACAGACGGTCAAAGTGAGATACCTGTCATAGGTCATACTACTAATAAATGACGGAAAAACTAGGAGTGTTTTAATCCAAGGGTTATGAGTTTTCCATTACAGAAAGCTATTTACCAGCACTGATGAATTGTATTGAGGTTGCTCATTCCCTGATTAGCAGTAAGTACATATGGTCTTTAAAACCAAGAAAACTGACTTTGTCCCTAAATATATAAATTTGAGCCTTCCTTCTGTATTTATATCAGTCTTACTTTCCATGTTAGGTGAACAAACAATACATAACTGCTATTGGGGGGATTTATATAGAAACTCTGTCTCTTCTACAGCATAGTAAGCCATTTGCCAGCAGGGACTGTGTTTTATTAGTGCACTCCCATGGCAGTAGTGTGGTACCTGGCATCTAATAGCTTATTGAATGAATTAATAAATGGGCATCCACTAAGCTGGTGGAAAGGAAGAGGGGAAAAATTCTGACATCATTTTAAGGCTCCAGTCTGGGAGATTATTACAACTACCACTATGTAATTGTGTGACAATAATATTTTTCACAACTCTCAAGGAGTAGACGGCCCCTTGAAGCACAGTTAGCTACTGGAAAGGAGAAAGCTCTGGTTCCCAGATATTCCCAGTCCCTGCAATGAAAAGAACAAAATCACAGACCATAAAGCTACATTCCTTTCAACTATACTGGCGAGGAATGAAGTTTATACCTGTATTTGCCAGAAAAGACTGACTAAGCAAATGAATAGTGTAAACAAGATTGCAAGAGGAATGCTTATTAAAACTATTTAAGAAAACAGATTGTTTTCAGGCATTCTTAAGCACTTCAGAAGTGTTTTATCTGAAAATACAACTAAATTTATAGGCAAATAGTTGTTGCATCAGTAATACTCCTTTCTTACTGGTTAAGTAAAGTAGGCTAAAGAAGCTCTTTTGTGCAACTTTTTAAAAGTCTAATTCTAGTAACTATATGTACTTAAAGGAATGAAGTTGTATTTCTTTGAAATATTTTGTGACAGATTTTTTTTTAATATTTCAGGTGTGCCTCCTTCATTAGGTAGCATCAATGTAATTGTGCTACATAGGGTCCTTTTACTTGGATCAGTTTTCTATACAGCAGCAGCATCTCTTGTGAAATCTTATCCCCAAATCTCTCCTAATCGAATCTAGAGCTCTTCTTACTATTTATGTCATGCATGTGTGTGTGTGACAGAAGGGATAGAGAGGGAGGAGAGAAATATTTATTGATTTTAATGTTTCCTTTAGGGGACAAAAATGGATAGTGTAATTTATTTTCCCTTCTTGTATATTTCTCACTCAAATGAGCAAATTAAAAAGTTTGTGTGTGTGTGTGTGTATATATATATAATATATAAAATGAATGTATAATTTATTTTATATGTTATATATACATATTCATGATTTCCTTATAATAAACCCTTGATTGTAGGTTTTAATCAAGTGACATACAATATGTGATAATTTGACACTGTTCAAAATTCTATTAGTCAAACTGGCCAGTACTAGAAAGACTGGCCACCATCCCTTCTGGCTGGCTAGCCCTTTGCTCAGAGCATCTTTCTACATTATTTACCTAGAATTAGCCTAATTACTTCCAATATCATTTATACTCCTAAATTGTTGGGAATTTTTAATTCTCCAATGACAACAGAGGCATTCTCTAAATGTTTTCTTCAATGGATCAAACCCATTCAGATAACTTGTTCTGAGAAATTCAATACATGAATTCAAATACAAGCTTTGATGCACAAAAATTAAATCTACAATATCTAGTTATTTGGGATGCTTCAAACGAACTTTATTTTGTATCTCATATATTGAATGCTAACTTAGGTTTAGGAGGGGAAAAACTGCTGAACTGGAGAGTCAGTGAATTACATGCTCTCTTGAAACTTAATGACAAGCTTTCAACCCAGAAACATAGGGGGATTCTTGAGGCCTGCAGTTGCATTCCTGCCGCTCGGGGTAATCAATAAAATCTGGGGCAGGCAAACCAGACAGGATCATTAGGGATTTGTTCCAGATTGTGAATGTTGGACAAACTGGAAGAATGAAGGTCACATCAAAAGTATGAAGATGGAGAGAATTAGCTGGGTCATAGAAAGACAGCATGTTGTTGTCATAATCCAGGAGGACACCCAGACGCTTCAACTGCGGAGGCACATCCACCAGCATTTCCTTGTTGTTATGTCTCACCACAAAGTTACTATTACAGCGAGAGAAGACCCATGAGGAGGCATTCTTGCCAATCCATTCATTCTTTGGAGCTGATTTGTAGGCAATACCAATTGCATACCTGTGAGACAATGGAAAGGAAAGAAAATAAATATTTACGAATGATCTGAATTGTGCTAGACACCACAGAAGATAAGAAAGAAAGTGCATGTTCCTTAAATAGTTTAAATTTAGATGCATAATACTGATATCACTAGAGCTTTAAAAAGTTAGCAATTAGAGTGATGTAGTAATTTCCAGCTCCTAGACCAGTGTATTTTCTATGATTTGATGAAAAGGCTAGCACATTTTTCTAGAAATGGTTTTCATCACATACCTTTAACTTTGACATACTGGTATTATGGTTGTACTATAGAATTGAATCTCTTAGAAAGCTAACAACAGAAAAGAAAAATGGGATACAACTCACCATGTTGAGGAACCCATGACCACCTCCCAATAGTGGCAGCCACTGTCAATGAATATATTTCCTGCTGCCCCATAGCACCCTGTGCCACTAAACCTCTCTGGAGTATGGCTCTTCTTCAGAGAGCTTTCATCCTTCTCCATCTGCAATCCATCATTGGAGATCTTCAACTTCTTATGAGTCATTTTGGGATCCAACTTAAAGGGTTGGCCTGAAAAAAGTAGAAAAAAGCAAAAAGCATAATGAAGTTTTAAAAGATTCTACCTTTGTCCCCCAGGACCATCGCTACCAAGGTATCCTCAATATGATGATCATTCTTGGGTCAGTGCAAGTTGGCAATATTTAGATTATGTTAAGGATGCAGGCCAGAAGCCAGAGTTGTCAATAAAATAAGAATAAAGGTCAATCTCCCATAAAACAACCTTTGCAAAGGCATTTATTTTCCCACTTTGGGGGGAAAAAGTGTATCTCTCCTAAGAGAATCTTGCAAGAAGTCATATTCCAATCATATAGGGGCTAATTATTCTCCCTATGATATACTATTATCAAATTAAAGGAGAGTGCTCAAAGTTTCATGTCCTCAAATATGTTTTGTATTTCAGTCGGTAGTTTGGGGTTTGGGTAGATTTTAAGGGAAGGAGTATTATGATGTTTGAAGTGAGGGGAATTGATGAGGTAATTGCTGTTTCATGGCAAAAAAAGATACTGAGAATTCTGCAACAGAATAGTTGTTTTTGTTTTTGTTTTGTTTTTTTCCTTCTTACAATAGGGATGTAAACAACATACAATTAGGCAAATTTGTTAGAGTGATTGCTGCATCATAAATGATCAGGGAAAACATTTGTATAAGATCATTTATAACAAATAATTACTTATAAACCATATGACAAAAACATTGTTATGACAGGGGCAGTTGCTTGGCATAGCAAGAACTTTATTATACAAAATACTTCTGTTAGCTAACAAAACACCCATTCCTAATTTTCTCTATTACGCAATTTCACTCTAGAGGCTGGGAAAGCTAAGTTACTCGATCTCCTTGCTGCTAGGAGTGGCAAATAAGATGGAAGCAGATGGAAGCAGAAGTCATACAGAGCAGGAGGAACTTCTAGAAAAGTTTCTGCTTTTCAGATAAAAGAATAGCCAGCAAACCTGTACCAACACTTTCTTCCTTCTTGTTATGAGAGGAAATATGACATCTGGAAGTTTCAGTGGCCATCTTGTGACCATGCAATAAGCACAAAGGGAGAAGGAGCCTGCATCTTTTATAATATCACAGAGTGGCTGCACCAGCCCTGAAATACCTACCTCTTGCTATGCAAAATAGACAGAAAATATACTATTCATTTAAACTACTAACAAATGCTGTTTGTTACGTTAATTGTACTTTTTGTTAGTTAAAAGCCTCCTAACAGATATGACTTCTCTGCAGTAGAATTTTATTAGAGTATCACAAATAATGCTTTTTTACTCAATTGTCCTCCAAATACGGGAGGGTAGAATGCAGAGAAAAATTCTTTATCTAATATCTTCTCAAGCTACCAGCTATTATATGTATATTTCTGTGTTTATAAATCTCCCATGAGCACCAAGAAAGCTCTTGCCCAAAGCAAAAACTACAACAGTAAAGCTCCTCTACCGAATGTCACTGCTTTCATACACTGCTGTAGGTGCCTGCTCAGGTTAAGCGTAGTTCGTCACTGGCAGGGAGTGTTTTCCTTTAGAAATCACAACAGGCTGGGCTCGGTGCCTCAGCCTGTAATCTCAGCACTTTGGGAGGCCAAGGTGAGTGGATTGCGTGAGCCCACGGGTTTGAGACCAGCCCGGGCAACTTGGCGAGACCTCATTTCTATAAAAGTAAAATTTAAAAAAATTAGTTGGGCCTGATAGCACACGCCTGTAGTAATGGCTACTTGGAAGGCTGAGACGGAAGGATCGCCGGAGCCCAGCAGGTCGATGCTGGGGTGGCCGTGAGCATGTCACTGCACTCCAGCCTGGGAGAAGCAGTGAGATTCCAACTCAAAAAAAAAAAAATCACCACAACGTACTGTTTGTTTTTAGTCGGGTGGGTTCACTGTTCCGGCTGCCTGCTTGGTTTATGGCTTTAACAATGAAGATGTAGCGCGTCCCACTCTGGAGTCCGTGCACTGTGTAATGGTTCTGTTTAATGTTAGGCACAATCATCCAGCTATCCACGGAATTATACAGGCCTGTAAAGTGAGAAGAGACAAGAGCAATAATCAGTGGATAAGAGAGATAGGATGAAAAAAACAGTGAAAATTCTTTATAAGCCATACCCTGCCCCAAAGTGAAATCATTTTATTTTCTTTTGTGTCTTGGAAGACATAATGAGATGAACCAGGGCTTATGACTCCACTATTTTCTCTCACAGAGCTAAGCTTATGCCAGGTTCCTTGCTTCTGACAATTGAATGCAACCATTAGCAAAAGACATTGCTTCAATTGTCTGCCAATTAACACTGGAATGGAGGCTACACAAAATCATAGAATCACCACTCTTAGAGTCTCTGAAATTTACCCCAAATGTCTATTCCTCTGAGAGTTGTTTCTGGTGTTTTATGGATGGAGCAATCCTATGCAGCACGCAGGAACATGGAAACTCAGAGCTGAAAGGACACCTAGTCACAGTATTTCCCTCATTTTACAAACTAGGATTGAGGGAAGAAAATGAACTTACCTAAGACCACAGATAGTGATGGTGCTGAAAATAAAACCCTGGCATTTTTAAATTCTAGCCCAGTCCTCCCCACTGCATCACAATTCATGGGGTGAACAGCAATGTTCCTTTGTCTCTGCAAGGTAATAAGGCTTTTAGGGCTCATAATTCTACTCTCCCATTCCATCCCCATTCTTACTTCCAAACTAGTTGAGCTCCAAAGTACCATAGGGAAGCAAAGGAGATGACATGAAAACCAAAGCAAGATACCATCTCCTCACTCTGACACTACAAATTTTACCCCTTTCTGGCTCTGATTTCTATATTCATGTGGGGTTGGGTGGTCCAAGAACACACTGTTGTCTGGAATCTTCGCTTCCAAGTAGGGAAAGGGATCAGAGAACTAGGCTTCTACTTTTGAAAGTCTTTAAACTATAAACATTGGCTTAAACAAGGGAAATGTACATTATCAAAAACATGTATTTGGCTAACTTTCAGTAAAAGAGCAACCAACGTTCTAGTTTATGGATCATCTAGACTTCTCTCTACTGTTGTCTGATCTTCAGTCAGTTGACCACTTTTAGCCACAGATCTACTAGAGGGTGAAAAGGAAAGGGCAAAGGAAATGACCAGTGAGGCCGGGCACAGTGGCTCACACCTATAATCCCAGCACTTTGAGAGGCCAAGGTAAGAGAACTGCCTGAGCCCACAGGTTCGAGATAAGCCTGGGCAACTTGGTGAGACCTCATCTCTACAAAAAAAAAAAAAAAAAATTAGCTGGGCATGGTGGTGCATGCCTGTAGTTCCAGCTACTTGGAAGGCTGAGGCAGAAGGCCGTGAGCGTGCCATTGCGCTCCAGCCTGGGTGACAGAGTGAGACTTCGACAAGGAAGGAAGGAAGGAAGGAAGGAAGGAAGGAAGGAAGGAGGGAAGGAAGGAAGGAAGGAAGAAAATGACCAGTGAATCAATCTAGTCACTTCTATGCAGTAAAGGATTTAGTGAGGTTGAAATTGAAAATAATAAGTCATGAGTGTTTTTGCTAGAGATCTTATCAAAAGGGTTTTAAAATTAGTTTAGAAAGGAGGTTGAACAGCCTAAGTTAAACTAGAAAAATAAGAATAATGGAGGGCAAACATATGCTAAAGAAATAAGAAGAAGAGTTGGTGGAAATGACAAGTGATTCTTATGAAAAGACAATAAGGATAAGGGCCAAGAATAATGTTTGAGGCCTTACCTATCTATTTACCAATGCACTGTATGAATCATAAGCTGCACATGAAATGTTAATATAAAAAGGAGAATATATGATCTTTCAGATACACACCTAACATTACAAATGCAAACAAAGACAAACTTCACAATGAAGTACTATATAGCTATAAAAAAAATGAGAAAGATCTCTATGAACTGATATAGAGTGATTTCCAGGAAATATTGTCAATTAAAAAAAAGCAAATTGCAGGCTGGGCATAGTGGCTCACGCCACTAACCCCAGCTCTTTGAGAGGCCAAGACAGGAGGACTGCTTGAGCCCAGGAATTCCAGACCAGCCTGGGCAACATAGTGAGACCTCATCTCTACAAAAAATAAAAAAAAAACAAACTAGCTGGACATGGTGGTGCACACCTGTAGTCCCGCTACTCAGGAGGCTGAGGCAGAAGGATTGCCCGAGCCCAGGAGGTCGAGGCTGCAGAGAGTTGTGATTGTGCCATGGCACTCTAGCCTGGGCAACAGAGTGAGATACCAACTCAAAAAAGGAAAAAAAGAAAGCAAATTAAAAAAGAATATATATAGTATGCTACTTTTTTGAGGAAAATAAAAGCAAATTAGAAAATATACATGTATTTGTTTGAATTTACAAAGCAACAACAAAAACAACAGGAAGGATAAACCAGAAAATCATGAGATTGGTTATCTACAAGGGATGGGACTGAGGTAACAGGATTGGAAGGATATGGGAGGGAATGCCACTTCTCTGAGTATACTTTTTAAAATAGTTTTTCCTTTGGGAAACGAGTTGTTTCAAATTCAAAAAAGCAAAATTAAGTCAACAAGAATGAGAAAAGTGGGTACTAAAATTGAAAGCAAACTGATACAAATGAACCAAATTTCATTTCAAATGAATAGTATAACCACACCAAAGTAGGGATGGGAGGTGAACTACTAACAAATCCTGAATTATAGTTAGCAGGTGTGTTTTTGTAGCAGAATGGGCAAAGCAATTCTGAAACTATTTTAGATGTATTATAGGATTGAGCAAATGAGTACATGTGTTGATGTTGTTGGGAGCCAGGGTTCACACTGTGGAAGGAAGTGCATACAAATATGGAATGGAAAATAACCTGTAGGGAAGGATTGAAATTGGAGGTATTGATAAGAACCCATGATTTCCAAAATGTGCATACACTTGTGTATGTGCACACAGATGTGCACACGTGTAAAATAGGTATTCACATATATGTGTATATGCATACATATGTGGGTGTTTGTGTGTATTTCTAGTATCCAGGTCTTGGTCTCTAATATTCTCCCACTAAAAGGAACCAGGATCCTTGCAAAAATGGTTGATTTCAAGGCTGGGACAGGATAAGGTCGAAATGAGCCTAGAACATTTTGTTATGCCAGAGAGTAAGGAAGGGGTCAAGAAAATGATAGGAGAATATCCTAAGGACCCAAGAGTCACCTTGAAAGGCTCCACTGGCTAAATCTGGAAAATTGGAGCACCAAAACAAATAAGGGCAGTAAAGAATTATAAACCATTAAAAAAAGAGAATTCATCAGGCCATACTGATAAACATGGGAGGAAACAGGGAGTGGGGCTCTTGCTTATAGTAAAATGATGAATGATAACTGTGGGAGGGAGTACTCAACTGGACAATCATCATTTTGTAATCACCGTAGTAAAGAATGGATCAGGCAAGAATCGTCAGCTAATGCTAAAATGGGTGGGGTGGGAGTGAGATGGGTTTGATGACGACGAGGTAGGATATTTTCATGGTCTTAAAGTATCACCACACAGATTACTTATTAGTGGCAAAGGAAAAAGAAGTAACTAGACGGTGAATAAATCAGACAGCAACTTGACTAGGTGATTAAAATTAGCGTCACCAATGAAGGGCAAGTGGATATCATATGCCTCCAGAAATAACATCCTAAGAAAGGGCTGTACTGAATATAATCTATGAGAAAATATCAGACAAACCTAAAATAAGGAACAACATAATAAAGTATAATAAAAATAAAAGAGAATTTTAAAACATGTCAATGTCATTAAAGACACAGAAGGGCTAAGGAAATGTTCCAGATTAAAGGAGGCTAAGGAAATATGACTATTAAATGTAATACCTGATCTTAGACTACAAGAGACAATATTGACAAAAGCATCATAATAAGTGAACTATCACAGAAACAGAACTGAATACTACATGGTCTCACTCATAAGTGGTCCCTGATCACTAGTCACATTGGCAAAAGGGTGGGATCAGCATTCACTGGGCACTGCTAGGGGAAGGAGGGAGGTGGGGGCACGTGAAAACACAAAGGATACCTGGTCCACTACTAGGGGGAGTGAGGGCCACCAAGAAGCCCAAACTTCATTTGCATGCAGCCTACTTATGTAGTAAATTCTCACTTGTACCTCACAACTCTATAATAAATAAGTAGATTTTTAAAAATAAAAAAAAGACAATATTGGGTTGTCTATATGTTATAAAAACATTGTGTCAAATGTCAAAAATTGGAATATGAATGGTAGTTTAGATAAAAGTATTGCATCAATGTAATTTTCTTAAAATTGGTAACTACTGTGGTTATGTAAGAGAATTTCCTTATTTTTAGGAAACATACACTGAAGAAATCAGAGGTGAAATTTCATGATGTAAGTAATTTACTCTCAAATAGTTCCAAAAATATAGAAATAGGGAATGTTAGCAAATGATTTTAAAAGGGACAAAATATTAACAATAGGTGAATATGGGTATTTTTGTGTTAGTCTTGCAAGTTTTCTGAAATTTTGAAATCATTTCTAAATTTAAAAAGGTAAAAATGTAATTCTCTAGGTATCACTGAAACTTGTCGAGATGGGACTTATGATTGAATTACAGTAATGCAAGTATATCTTTTGTTCAAAAGCAAAAGATCACAATATGAAAATCCATGAACCTGAGTGTAAATGTGTAGTGGAGAGCATTTGCATGATAATGGGAAGGGGGGAAATGGAAGTTATATTTTTGTTATATATTATAGACTGCCTGGTCAGGGTTTATGGCCAATGCTTTTGTAATGCAAAACACAAAACTGAAACAGAGGAAAGATAATACATTAATCAGAAGTCAAACACCCAAACATCTGTGGGCATTCTCACTCAGCTAACAGCATTGTGTGAAACATTATTGATTGTGATCATTTCAAATCTTAGAGGAAGAAAGTTAATAATAAAGGAAAAAAGTTGGGGGAAAAAACAAAGGTGGAAAAATCCTAACCAATAAGGACAAAATTTCTGGATAAAAAACATGTGGGGAAAAAAAGCCCTCAAGGGTAAGTTGCTCTCGGAACTGAGGTTCAGCCAACAGTGGCAGGCCAGATTGGCAGGTAGGATTGGGATTTTGAATCTTCAAAAATATTTACTCCTAGTAAAATAGTTTTCCATTGCCATCTAAAATTTAGTTTCAGGGCTCTCCCTTTGTCCATGTCCTATAGGACTTTTCTCTCACTGATTGAAGAAAGCCATAAAGGCAGGCTCCAAGGGAAAGCAAATGTATTGGAAGATAGAATCTGGATCCCAAAGGATTTTGGCATGCTGGAATGAGGAGTCAAAGTTAACCAGATAAAATATACTAGGGATAAATTCAAGGTGTTGTATTTCGGTTCAGATGCTTAATTGTATGACACCAAGATTCGGAATACATAGAAAATTCAGTTAACTATATGCTCAGTAAATAGTAGTTAATGTGGGCTGCTGAGAAAAAGGTATGGGGTGATGGGACATCAGCTAATGTACAAGGTAAATAATCCAGCTATCCTCTTCAGTGGCAGACCACTTTTGGAGTACTATATTCATTTCTTTGACAGGATATTTTATAAAGCACTTTAACAAACAGGAGTGTGTCCATAAAAAGGATACCAGGATGGTAAAGAATCTAAAAACCATGTCATACAAGGAGCTATTGAAAGAATTGAGGATGCTTAGCCTGGAAAAGAGAAAATTTAGAAGGGACATACAATCTTCTAAAATTAACTTAATATGTGAAAGATCCATGAGGTTTGTTAGTGAGGCACAAAAGGCCAGAAATAGGACTAATTGGTAGCTATGGTTTAATTCAAGGAGAGTTAAGCCTGAATCTGACAGATTTGACTCTACCATTTTGTAGTTCTGTGACCTTGAGAAACTCACTTAACTTGAGTCTCAGTTTCTTCATCCGTAAAATAGAGTTAATACCACCTATTTCAGAAGGCTAAGTAAAAATTCATAAGGACTAAATGAGTTATTGTATTTGGAAACATTTGTAATTGGCAAAACATAATACACATGTAATTATTATTGTCATTATTATTTACTAAGAGGAAGAGCTAAGTCTCATAAGAAAGCACTGACAATTATTTATAGCTGCACAACAATCAAATGGGCTATTTTGTTAGAAGTGATTTTTCCCCATCACTGAAAATGTTAAAGCAGTGACAGGATGATCATCTATTGGATGTCTGGCAGAAGGGAAGAAGATTAGACTAGATGACTTATAACATTCCTTCCAATTATAAGATGCTATGATCCTATCACTATTAAGAATTATCCTTTAAGGTTTTCTTTACAAAGAACTATATAGCCTTAAAAACAGAGGTGACAACCTTTAGATCTTTGTCGCTTCTCAGACTTGTTCTCAGCTCCTGGGACATGACTGCTCTCCTCATAACAGGAAAGAGAAACAGTTGCTGGCACTAAGACTTTTCAGAGTAGAAGAGACAAGTATGTCAGTGAGGCCTTATAGTTTATGACTTCACAACCTGAAGAAACACCCGGGAACATAGCTACATGGGCCAAGTGGCTTAAGTTGGAGCTGCACGAGGCAAGTGTTTTTTAGAGTTTGATCCCAAAATGTCCTCTCATCTCTCCACCCCACCATTGTCACAAAATAGAATTCTGCCCCAGAATTGTCACAAAACAGGAAAAAGGAACCTATCAGAGGGTTTAGTTGGAAAAACTACTCTCATGTCAGCTTGTGAAGTCAGGCACAAAAGCATAAACATAAAGGTAAAAGAAAATACTAATTTGCAGCTATGGAGATGTAACCATAGGGTAGAAATCTGTTCCAGTCTTGAATCCAACTTTAATTCCGCTTTTGTTTCCATTATTTCCCCCAGCACATTGAGGGGAATTTTCAGTTCAAACCCTTTTGATGGGCAATCAGTGAGTGAAGCTCCTACTCTGCTTTGTCTTGCTCCAATACACCAGAAGGTGAAACCATAACATATGATCTAAATCGCTGCTTTTTCAGCCTCTTTTATTTTGTGGCTCACTGACATGGGGTTATATTTAGTGTAATTCTTGGTGGAAAGGGAGCCATAAAGGGAACAGTGACAGAGGCAAGTGGCCTGTCACCAAATTCACTGATATAAGTAGGCACAGTAAAGGAGAAGTCTTTGAACATAATATATCTTACCATGATAATGAAGTGGAAGAAGAGTCAAGGAGAGAGATGTTCACACACACAGAACCAGCAGTGATGGTGGCTTAGAACCCAGAAACAAAAACTGAGTTGTACTCTCTTTGGGAGAGTAGAGTGACATGGATTGATTGAGGAAAGGCTAAGGGTTACATAAATAATGGGAGTGTCCCCAGTGACTGCCCAGCAAGAAAATGCACAACTTGCTTGTCACCAATCAGTAAGGTCTTTGCAATGCTCTGGGAAGCTTAAACTGTCTATGAAACACTGTACTAAACAACCTAACATGGCTTACAAACACTTGCCTCGTGGCGCCCCGGCCAATCTTGAGCAGCTTACTGCTTCCTTACATTTCCTTATCTCTGGCCACAGGCCCCAACTACACCATGACTTACTGATGAAGTTAGCCTGGCCAGTGAATATGGTGTACTGAAGCTCATAGGAGCTGATGCTGAACTCATCATCCGAGATCCAGTGGACTGTAATGGTGTCATGGGAGGCAGTACAGAGTTCCTCTCGGATAGATGGTGGGTTTGGGGCTGTAAGGAAAAGTTGAAAAGATAATAAGGAAAGTATACTCTCTCTTTATGATCCTTACTCTTCCTGCCTAACCTGACATCTCTTGGAGAAGTGGTTTTCTTAATAGAAAGGCTTTAGGTGGCATGAACCATGCCACCTGAAGCAAAGTGCTGCAACCTCAAGCTCCCTAAAACCACTTCTGCTACAATAAAGATATTTTAGGCAAAGATATAAGCCTAAATTTTTGTGATGACTTCCCAGTTGTCCTAGTCTGTCTGTATAAACACTTAGATATTAGACTAAAGAAGTCACACATTTTCTTAATACATGACCCTCAATCTATTGCTTTTTATTTCAAAATAAGTGTTTTTGTTTTTGTTTTTGAGACAGGGTCTCACTCTGCCACCCAGCCTGGAGTGCAGTGGTGTAATCATAGCTCACTGCAGCCTTGCACTCCTGAGCTCAAGCAATCCTTCCACCTCAGCCTCCCATGTAGCTAAGACTACAGGTGTGTGCCACCGCACCTGGTTAATTTTTGTTTTTTTGTAGACAAGGCCTCATTATGTTGCCCAGGCTGGTCTCTAACTCCTGGCCTCAAGCAATCCTCTCGTCTCGGCTTCCCAAAGCACTGGGATTACAGGCATAAGCCACCATGCCTGACCCAAAATAAATTTTATTATACATTTTTGGAAGTATAGTCAAGTGCAAATTAATGTGAGTTCCCTCATCTGTAAAAGGATAATAATTACCTTATAGATTTATTGTAAGAATTAATAACATAAAATTAATATACAATGTCTGGCAAAATTAGATGTTCAATAAATGACAGCTATCTTAATATGCTGATAAAATAGTTGCAAGGATAAAGTGTATATATTTCTCATGGAATGACCATTCAGTAATCCTGAAGGTAGCCAGCATTTGTAACAGGTTGGTTGCATCATTCATTTTCTAAAATTGCTGCAAACCATATATTTCTTGCATTTTTCTTTCTGATCTGCTATTTCCTAATTTTCCTTAAAACCATTTGTGTAGTATTTGTACCCATGTGGGACATTCTCTAATATTCCTAATTGCCACCTGAGCTCTACCTTCATAAGAAGTAAAAATATATTACTGTTAGATTCATAATAGTTAAAGATAGACTGAAGGAAAAATTCACCAGCAATTTCTTGTGCTCACCCTTAAATATGGATGGTATACCAACTTTGACTGCAGAAATATTTAACAAGTAATCCTTCTTTTCTGTTACACAAATTGAAATATATTCTATCTAAAAAGATACATGTATCATCTTAAAGATTATAAAACATTTTCATTGTAAGTATTGTCCTTTTCAGATTATTTTTAAATAGAATCACACCAAAAGAAAAAAATTAAAATGGGAAGAAAAGTACAGCATTTTCACACCTGTTAAATAATCTAGCCCCTCCAGCAGTTTCTTTTCTCTGGAAAAATCTAAAGCAAAGTTTTCAAAGGCATCATTAAAATTGATGTCTGGAATCAGAACTTGAGAAGATGCAGTTGCCATAGCGACCCTGGAAAAGAGAAGAGTACATCAATATACATCAAAATAGGTTTGCAACCTTCATCCAGTGTTTGATTTCTGGTTTAACAAGGTGAAAATAAATGACTTGTGAGGTTTTATTCATTAAGTGAAAATATCATATCTGTGCTTTTCCAATAGAAACCATTTAAATTTTAACCATAAGAAACCAATTAAGCGTTATACCACATTTATTCACATAGTTCACCCCTCAAGCACACTCCCCCACCCTGTCTTAATTCTGAGAAGTTAATACTGGATATTTTCCCTTTGCATCATTTTCCATCTGGCAGGCAGCATCAAAACTAGACCTCCGAAGGCTTGGTAAGAACAATTTGAGAGAGTTCTTCTCCCTATTTTTTAAATACTAGTCAACAAGCCAGCTTACTAGGTTAACACCTTCTCCTGAAAACATCGTTTATTTGATCTTTTATAATATTTATATTTCGTTTTATTAACTTTAATTGTATAATGCTATGATAGTTTTATCTCCTCAACTAATTCTAAGAGTCTCAAGAGCAGGGTTCATATTTTGTACCTCTTATAACTTCCATGGTCTCCAACACAGTGTTGGACATATAATGAAAAATATAATTGTTGACTCAATGACTAACAACATGACAACTGCTAGCATTTATTTAATGCTAAGTATACGTAAGGCATTATGCATATACTTTACCTACATTATCTAATTTACTCCATACCATAACCTTGTGTGGTAGATGTAATTTCCATTTTGCAAATGAGAAAGTTGACACATTGAAAAGCTAAGTAGCTTCCCTAATGTCACACAACCTGTAAAGGTCAGAAATATAATTAAACTCATGTCCTATGTGATTCTAAACTCTATACCTTTAACCTTTTAGACTGTTGTTTTTTTTAAAGGTATATTTTAGCAATTCTTAACAATTATTACACATCAGAATTATCTGAGGAAACTATTATCAAAACATACATGTTAAACCCTGTACCAGATCTTCTGAATCAGAGCCAATGAAGATCCTTGAGCATGCAAATGACGTGGTGGAAAGAATCATTTCCTTGGCAACAGTATGTAGGGTAGAGTGGAGGGAAAAAACACTTAATGTAGGAAGATGAGAGAAGAAACTTTTATGGTGAACTAGTTGTAAGGGAATGAGGAGTTGAACAAATACATATCCTCATGCATGTATATCCTGCTACACATCTGCCAACATATCTTGGCTGATTCTGAAAATACAGATGTTTCCAGGATAAACTACAAGCCAAATGAATGACTAACTCAGTACAATCTTAAGGTCTCACACTGAATAGCCAGTTTTTCAGGATTTGGTGAGTAAAGAAAGAGACAGCAACCTCTTTAGGATAAGAGTTAATCCAGAAAATTAGCTCATGAAATTTCTTTCTGGCTTCCCCAATCTTCTTTCTTCTTTACATTTATCTATCCAATACTTATTAAGCACAGCTAATGTGCTAGGCACTGTAGTGGGCACTGGAGATAGACAAAGAGCCCTTTCCTTCAAGACATTACACATCATTAAGGAGAAAGACATTAAATAGACAATAGAAGTTCTGCTACAAAGTGAATACAGCATACACAAGAGTCACCTGTAGAGACTTGGGAGCTAAGGAATATCTTCCCAGGGAAAGTTAATTTTAAGCAATGACCTACACAGTGAGTAGGCGTTAGCTAAGCAAGGACTATGTCGATATATATGTGTTCTCTCTTGCTTGAGAACTGTAAAATGAGGCAAAGTCATGTAGGACCTTGCGGTCCATGTTACAAACTTTGGATTTTATCTTAAGAACAATGGGAGCCACTAAGCATTTTAAGGAAAAGGGTGATAAGCTCAAATTCCTGTTTCCAGAATAGTACTATGACTTCAGTGGATGAACTGGAAAGGGTCAAAATTGGAGGCAGGCAGATCAGATTTAAGGTGTCTAGAAATGAACGGAAAGTAAAGTGGTGACACAAGTATAGGTAAAACAGAAGGAGTGAATTCACAAAGCATGAAAACAAATGGTAAACAAATATATTAAAAATTCCAACTATTAATACATGAGAAATCGAAGAAATGTACATTAAAATGAGATAGCATTTAGATTACAAATAAATGACAAGATAGGAGTTTTTTATGCCTATATTCAATAATGTCTACATATTTCTATTAGGATTGAAATTGATATACATTTTGGAGGCCAGTTTAACATTAAATATCTATAATTTTATACTATTAAATAGTATGAAACATTAATATTCATTGACACCAGAGTTCTACTTCATGAAATTTTTATTATGGAAATAATTGAGACATATGCAAGGCTATAACTACAAGGGCACTCAATACACAATATGTAACATAATTGTCTAACAATGGAGCCTGAGATAAGTAATGTATTATACATCAAAAGGTGAAATATCACAAGGCCACTGGAAATCAGGTTTTATAGTAATATCCAATGACAGGGAGAAAAGTTTGCGATATATTAAGTTTCAAATGTAGGATATAATACAGTATACACAATATGACCTTATGTTTGTGAGATATATATAAATATAAATATTGAGTTACTATATTCCCAAATGTTAATGGTGGCTGGAAGGTTAAGAATGGATTAAAAGTGACATTGTGGGGCAGGTGCTTCTCTGTGTTTCTGTATTAAGCAAAACACACTAGCTATTTTGCTGCAATCTCTCAAGGCATTAATCTCTATTAGGGATAATATAATAAGTGTCATTTGTAAAGGGGAAGGGATGCCTCTCCCAGCTAAAATTTCATTTTAACTGAAGTCAAGGTGCCTTAACACAATACAATGATAGTGGAATGGGGTGGAATTTCAGACCCTGTGAGAGACCAGTGAGAAAAATATTTCTGTTGGGTGGATGATTCTCAAGTCGTACTACGTAAATAGATATCTATTCCACCTACACTTCAGATTATACATGCGCCTATGAAAAGAAGATTCAGATAAAGAGTTGGTAATCATCAACCTACAGATGATAATTGAAACCCTAGAAACTAATGAGTTTACAACAAAGAGAATGTATAGAGAAAGAAGAGAATAGCCTAAGACAGAATGACAAAGAATTGATGGCATTAAAGGAATAGGTAAAAGGAAGAATTTTTCACAAAGGCAAAAACAAAAACTGGATAGGAAGAAAGTCAGGAGTGTTCATGGAAGCTAAGGGCAGAGAAATTTCAAGTAAGAATAGTCAGTAGGGACAAATACTGCTGAGAGATCAAGTAAGAGGAAACAGTAAGATGATACAAAAGTGTCTCTTATATTTAGCAACAAGGTATTCATTTGGTGACCTTGAAAATAATGCTTTCAATGGTGTGGTAGTGGGAGAAAAACATTTCAGAGGGTTGAAGAGTGGGCATGATTAAATTCAGTGGTTTAAATATATGTTTTATATTTGCTTTCATGAAATCCCACTGAAATGACAGTCAAAGAATGAAATGTCATAAACCCACAAAGACAAAGAGAATGGAAAAGAGATGCCAACAAATAAGAGACTGTCAACAAATGTTTGGAAGCTAGAAAGGAATGAATATGTGGTAACCAAAAACGGACCAGAGAAAGCTGGATCATGAAGCCATCAATATCAAGCTGCTATAGTACCACAGAAATTTGAATGTTTGCACGAGGAACAGCTAGATCCTCAGATCCACTAAACCAGAGACTACCCTTCCCTCATCCTGGCAGGAGATGTGAGGTTTACTTTCTGCTGAGCTTTGACATTATATTAAAAGCAGTCTTAAAACATTCAGTTCCTTTTCCCTGCTTGGCTTTCAGAATACTGGCAGCCAGGCTTATATCTTCCACCCACCACTCACCAAAAGCAGGAGATTGGGAGGATTCTCCCCAAGGGAAATGAACTTAAGACGAAACAAAACAAAACAAAAAAACCTACAGAACTGACACTTGGGAGTCCTTCAATAAAAAGCTGGTATTCCACCTCATAATCCCACAGCAAAGTTGACCAAGCAATAAAGTGTCCCCACCCACTCAGAGCTTCCAGTTGTCTCTCCGTGCTTAAATTCAAACAAACAGCCAAAAGCTTACCAGATATTTAGGGAAAGATAGCAACTTAAACAAAATAACAGAGAAAAGAAATTTGGAGGAAACTAAGACAATGTACAGATAGAAGAAAACTTTTTAAATGCTAATATTCCCAGGAAGAAAAATAAATAGTTTGCACACATAAAGTAAAAACAGAATACTAAAAAGAAACAAAGATCAAGAATGAGCTCTTGTACATAAAAAAATGATTGTGAAATTAAAATTTCAATACAAAGACAGAGAAAAGTTAAAGAAATGGATAGTAAAACTAGAAGGCCAAGTCATAGAAAATAGAAAATGAAATATTTTTAAATTAGAGAAAAATATATAGGATGTCCAACATCTGGCTAATTAGCATCCCAGAAAGAGAAAAGATAATAAAGGGGAGGAAATTATTGGAGAATAATATAAGAAAATTTTCCAGAACTAGAGATCACTAGTTTTCAGATTAAAAGGACTTACTGAGTGCCCAGTCAAAATGAATGATAAAAGACCCACAACCAAGGCAAATCTTGGTGAAATTTCAGAAAACCTGGGTTAAAGAAAAGATCTTAAAAGCCGTTAGATTTTGGCCAGGCGCAGGGGCTCACACCTGTAATCCAAGCACTTTGGGAGGCTGAGGTGGGAGAATTGTTTGAGCCCAAGAGTTGAAGACGAGACTGGGCAACATAACAAGAGCTCGTCTCTATAAAAAATAAATAAAATAGCCAGGCATGGTGGCACACACATGTTGTCCCAGCTACTCGGGAGGAAATAAGAACTTGAAGACAAATTAATAGAAACTGTCATAACTGGAACACATAGAGGAAAAAATATTTTAAAAAACAGAGCATCAGTGAATTATAGGACAATTTCAAGTAGCTTAGTATACAAGGGGGAACTCCCCCCAAAAGCCAGGATTATCTTTTGGAGGGAGGGTCCCATTGCAGAACACTCAGAATTTGTTCCTTCAGATCAAATAGTCAGTCAAAGTTTTTATCTGGAAGTTGAGAAGGCTGCATCACAATTTGCACAAGAAACACCCTCAGTATGGCAAACAGGTGACTGGTTCTTCCACCATGACAATATACCTGCCTACATCATGCTGAGTGTTCAGCAGTTGTTTTTTTTTTTGTTTTGCTTGTTGTTTTTTTGGGGTGGAGGTTTGAGTTGGAGTCTCACTCTGTCACCCATGCTGGAGTGCAGTAGCATGCTCACAGCTACCCCAGCGTCGACCTGCTGGGCTCTGCCGATCCTTCGGCCTCAGCCTTCCAAGTAGCCAGAATTATAGGCGTGTACTACCACACCCAACTAATTTTTTCTTTTGATTTGTTGTAGAGACGAGGTTTCACCAAGTGTTCAGGCTGTTCTCAAACCTGTGGGCTGAGGCAATCCCCCCACCTCAGCCTCCCAAAGTGCTGGGATTACAGGCCTGAGCCACTGCACCCAGCCTGTTCAGCAGTTTTTGACCCAAAATGGCATGACTCCCATGCCCCATCCTCCCTATTCACCAATCTTGCTCCAAGTGACTTTTTTTATTTCCCTGTATGCAAAATGTCCTCAAAGGGAAAGGTACTGCTAATGTGAAAGAGGTGAAATAAACAAAGCAAAAAACAAACAAAAAACGGCAGAAGCACCAAAAGGCATCAAAATGGACGAGGGCAAAAACTGTTTTGAGCAGTGGAGAAAGCATCATGATAGGTGTATTGCATCAAACGGAGAGTACTTTGAAGGTGACTGAAGTTTAAACATGTAAGAATAAATACACAATTTTTATAAATAAGTTATGTTTTTTGGGGGTCCCCTCCTCATATATGTAATTGGAGTACCCACTAGAGAGGAAAGAGGCAACATTAAAAAGTTGAGAAAATAATGGCTGAAAAAATTTCCAAATTTGCAGAAGTCAATTGATAACATCTAAAATTTTTAAAAAATAGCGATGTAAGAATGTTATTTAGAAATGTAAAGGTCATACCAATAAAGACACCTGATAGAGTTGAAATTACTTGACATTGTTGTAAAAACCCACCAGTGGCACTAAACCCCCTAAATTTATATTCTGCCTCTGCCCTTACTAGTTGGGTGATCATAGGCAAGTCATTTAATCTCTCTGAGTGTTCTTTCATCTGTAAAATGGGATTAATAGTAGTGTTTACTTCCTAAGGTTTTTGTGAAATTTAAATAAATTAATACTTATAAAGACTTAGAATAATGCCCAGCACAAAGTCAATGCTTGATATTATTATTTTCAGAGAGCAGAAATTGAGGGTAAGGAAGAGATTGTTATTTCTTGCAATATAACTTCTAGTAATATTTTACTTTCTATGTATAAGGTAGTAATACGTATAGGGTACTATTTTTATATAAATAAATTTTAAATATTTAAGAAGAGTAGATTGGGGTGAGGAAATGGAAAGTCTTTCAAGAAGTTTGCTATGACGGGAAGGAGAGGGATACGGTGATAGCTAGAGAGGGTACAGTAAAGGAAAGTTGTGGGGTTTTGTTGTTTTTCTGTTGTTTTGTTTTTAGGTAGGAGAGATGTGAGTGGGTTTAAAAATTCATGTTAAGTCAACTATAGAGGAGTAGAAATTGAAACTATGGAAAAAAGAGGACATGCGGCAAAAGTACAAATAATATCTCTTCCAGTATAACCAGAACGAAGGTAGAAGTAATGAATGTGGATGTAAGTATGTCTGGCAGCTTGGTTTGAGAAGTTGAGGAATTTATCATCTCATACCTACTATTCTTTGTAAAATAAAAGGGCATTTGCTGAGCATAAGCAGTTAGGTGGCAGGACTGGAATTCTGAGGTGAGCACAAAAGATTTAAAATAGCCATTAAGGAGACAAGTTAAAAAGAAAACTGGCCAAAGTAACACAGAAGAATTTCAGGTCAGTACTGAAGGTCCAGGTGAGATTAGAAGTCATAAATTTGTGGTCCAGTAGTAGCATCCTCTTTGGTTAAGTAATTTTTAGCAGCAGAGTTCTGCAACTCAAATATAGGCATGGAAAAGATGGAAATAGCTGGACTGATTTAGGGTTGGGATTTTATCAATATGGTGTGGCAAAAGGACAATGGGGCAAGGGAATTGGGGATATTGAAAAGAGAGTAGCTGATATGAGAAACCACGGATCCTAAATAAGCTAAAGAAAGAAGTGAAGACAGGAAATAGCTAGTAAGTAGGAAAAAAGTATAGGAGTCAGAACTTAGAGGTCTCAGTGAAGTTGAAGAATAGACATATTTGAAGAAAAAAAGAGCTGTTAGTATAGAAGTTATAGTTAGAAAATAGAATGTTTTAATTTATGATTTCAGTGCAATTTTGAGTGATGGTAAGGTTCAGCATGGAAGTGGGTGGATGAAATGGAACAGATTCACTGGAAGAGGGGATGTCAAGGAAGCTAGATGGCTAGATCATTATATGAGTCAATCATGTGGGTGCTGCTGAAGTCACCTAGAAAAATGGCAGAGGCAATAGAAGGATAATTGCAATCTTGGAGCCAAAGTCTTCAGTGAATGAGACAGAGATATAAGAAGGTCAAATCTGTCCTAGTGAGCCCCCATAGGCCCTTGGTGACTACAGTGAATAATGTTTCACTTTGGACCACAGATTTTTTTTTTTTGCCAATGGTCTATAGATTGGCTTCTAAGGATCCATAAGTTCTCTGAAATTGTATACAACATTTTCTGCGTATATATCCAAAATGCATTGTTTTTCTTCTAGAAGAAAGTTAACCACTTTCATCCAATTTTCAAAATGGTGAGTGATTCAATAAAAGTCTAAGAATTACTACTCTTAAAAGATGTGTGTGAAGAATAATTAAATGAAAGCAATTGAAACTGCATATAGACTAGGAAGGCCACACACCTATCAATGTAACTAAAAGTTTCTCTGCCCCTACACCAACACAACACTATCATAGAAAGTTCAAGTCGTGAGTGAGCAGCAGATAACTATGGCAGCAGCTAGAGCTAGTGCTTGGCTGTACCTTAAAAGAACTGGGAGGCTACAGAGATGGAGAACAGAGTTCGGAAATCCACAGGGTAATTTACCACTAAGGCTCAGTTACTACCTAACTGGCAAAATCTTCAGGTGGCAGCTGCTACGTACGTGCCCGAGCAGAATTAGGTGACTTTAAGCTCGCCCCTTTTCACAAGAGAAGGCACTTCAAAAAAATATGAGGAACTCACCTCTCAGCAATATTTCTGGCAGACTGTAGAAACCGTGCCTGGTCATTTTCTTTCAGGATATGCTCAGCTTGGTTGATCAGGACTGTTGACCGTTCAAGACACTGGCGGCAATTAGCAACCTGCTGTGCCAACTTTCTCAGTTTCATAACCTTAAAGGAATAAAGAAAAAAAATAAGGTAAAATGTGTAGTGCTTAATTAAAAACAATAAAAACAGCATGAAAGAAATATGCTGCAGTGATTCTAAAAATAAAGCTTATTGGCCGGGTGCGGCAGCTCAAGCCTGTAATTCCAGCACTTTGGGAGGCCAAGGCGAGAGGATTGCTTGAGCCCGTGGGTTCGAGACTAGCCGGGGCAACATGGTGAGACCTCATCTCTACAATAAATCAAAAAATTAGCCCGGGGTGGTAGTGTGCGCCTGTAGTTCCGGCTACTTAGAAGGCTGAGGTGGAAGGATCGTCAGAGCCCAGCAGGTTGACGCTGGGGTGGCTCTGAGTGTGCCACTGCACTCCAGCCTGGACAACGGGGTGAGCCTTCAACTAAAAAATAATAATAAAATAAAGCTTATTAATAGTCCATGGTCCTCAAAATAACCACTCACCTTCTCACCCTCCCTGCTATATCTCTCTTGTCAACCCCTCTTTCTCCTGTCTACAGTTTGCTTGCTTAGGCTGCAAGTCATATATTCTTGGTTATCTACTTCCTCTTTTTATTAATAACATTAATTTTTCTGGTTGTAAATGCAATGCATGCTTATTATAGAACATTCAGAAGATTAAAAAGTATAAAAGAAATGCTACCACTCAGAGACCTCTATTATGTTTTTGTTTACATTTTACAAAAATTATGAGGAACTTACCTCTCAGCAATATTTTTGGCAGACTGTAAAATATCAATACATTTTCATATATATGTTTACTTAAAAGTATCTTCTTGATGAGTATCTACATTTCTATGTATATATTTCTCTAAATGTCTTTATGCATACCTGAGTGTTCTTGGAAATTTCAGTTCCTGGGTAAACTGCAACTATCCAGCACAGCATAAAATATTGGTCATCCCTCCAGGCTCTCAAAATGTCTCACATTATACACACAGCATGAGCTTATAATCACTAACACTGACCAGCAGGCCAGCAACCCTAAAACCATATAGCTTCACGTAGGCCCACACCTGACCTTCCTGACCATGACTCTTCAGTTCCCGGGCTAGAAACCTGGGTGTCTTCAGTGACTCTTCTCTCTCTCTCCTTCATCTTCTATATTTAATAAGTCAGTTATTCCTATCATTTCCATTCTAACATTGTCTGTTATGTTCTTTCCTCATACTGGCATTCACGGTCCTTTCATAATCCTGGCCCACATTTCTACCAATACTTTTTTAGTACTGACTTATAATATACCCAAATCCTAAATGTACAACTCAATAAATTTTTGCATACACATTACCCATGTAACCACTAATCAGGTCAAGATATAGAGCATTTCCAACACATTCTGGGGAATGGCCATCATTTTTATTGGATTCATAACACTAGGCCAAACATTACTTCTTTGCCTGTCTCCCTACAACCTCATTTATTCTTACTTTCATGATCCAAACTGATCAAACTGGAATCATCTGGATTGAACTTTGACATTTGTAAAGTCAACTCTTCCTTGGCCTCACTGAAGTGCTGTGCTTTACCTTTGTCTCTTTGATTTTGACAGCAATCATTTGCTTCCTCTGCTGGATGATCTCTACCAACTCGTCACATTCTTCCATAAGTTTTGCTTCATGCATAGCAGTATTTACCTGCCAAGAAAGTTCAGAGTATTACACAGTGATTGTTGCCTTTGTCCCCTGTTGGCTCTAAAAGGTTCGGACTGACAGCTAAGCATGCACAACTTCTTCCATACCTCCCTCATAAGATCCACTCCTAGAAGAAGAGTAGAGATGATGATATTAATGATGCAAGGGCATTGAAGCACCACAGATAGGAAGCTCTCCAGGCCTCTGGTAGATCATGATGGTTAATGGAAGGCTGGGCAGAAGGACAGATGAGATGGGGGCATGTTATTCCCACTGCACAATTCCCTTTACTCCAGCACCCTGTCCTCCTGCTGTTCTCTTGGAAAGAAGGTAAGGAGATTTATGTACGTCAAGAATAGAGAGGATCCTCCTCCGCAGGCACAATAATATTAAGATAACATTACAAAAACATATTTCTACTGTGCTAACAAAAATATTTTCAGTTTTCCTTGTTCCCTTCTAATTTTTCAATATATGAACATGCAGATATATTATCATATTAAATATATTCACGTGTAGAAATTTTTTCACACAGCTCTCATCATGTTTTAGTGGCTATTTCTCACCTTGGGCCATCTAGCTTTCCTACTTTGGTATACTGACTACCTCAAACTATCGCTACTACAAATTCAGTGTGAGGAAAAAAAAAAGCCACCATTCTTCATTGTCTTTCCATAGACTGATTCCTCCTTCTTTTTGTTTTTAATTTTTTTTTAACTTTTATTTTAAAGATGTGGTTACAATTCAGGATTAGGTATACAAGTGTGATTTCTCCTTCTCCCCATTGCTACTGCTATCGACACTAAATGGTACAGAACCCCCAGGAGAGGCTAAAGTGAAAGAAAGAAGGGATCTTTAGGCTGCCCAAGCACAAAAGGAAAGGAAGGGGATAGAAGTTAATACCTTCTAAGCACTTAATTTGTAAGGCACTTCATAGATAAATTATTTCATGGAATTATCATAACAACTTTACAATATAAGAACCATTTTTATTCCCATTTCACAGATGGGGAAACTGAGGCTCAGAGAATTTTAGTAATGTGCTCAGAAATCACACAGCTAGTAAGTGGTAAAACCAGAATTCAAACCGAGTTTTGTCAAGTGAAACCCCTGGGCTGGCTGGGTGGGCGGATGAAGTTCAGTTCCATTTCAGCAGCACACAGAGCAGTCACACAGGGAAGCACAATCATTCCAATAGTCTATTCAAGGATCACTCGAGCAGAGCTCTAGAAGGCTGAGGAATAGACAATGGGTTACTTGAGAGCATCAGAACTCAAGGGGCTAGATATGCTTCATTAGCAAGGTAGGACTGCATTTCCAATTGTTATCCCTCTTCAGAGGGTTCCTCCATGTTCTCCAACCCCAGCAAAATGCATGTCACTGGACCCTACTATTTCCTCTCTCATCCTTTAAGCTCCCTGCTGGCTAATTTTCTGTTTCCTCCTTAACTGAAGCAAAATACGTTTGGTGGTGAGTCACAACTTAATTTGCTTTATTTTCACTCTCCAGGGGAGATGCCACAATGAGAGTTTCTACTTATTCTGAATGAACAGCTCCACTCTGGCCATTCTACTTTTTTTCCCCTCAGGCTCCTCATCCTTTCCCTATATTGGATCTACCTTTCCATAGCAGATATCTTGCCATCTCAAGAAACTCCCACTCATCTGAGACTAAGAGGTTCACCTAGTTCTCCCTGGGTCCTTGCTTAGAGTGTCTCGAATTTTAGACACTTTCCATTTATAATTTATAGGTGGCTTCTGGTGTATTACACAATGGTGTAGTACCTTGTTTCTTTAGCCCTTGGACTAACCTTTATATAACACTTGCTATATGCTAAGCATTGCTCTAATTAGTTTACATATTTTAGCACTCTCAATCCTCAAAATAACCCTGTGAGGTAGTTGCCATTATCCCCAATTGACAGATGAGGAAACTTAAGCACAGAGAGATTAAGTGACTTGCTCAAAGCTATCAGTTAATAAGTGGAAGAGATGGGATTTTCACCTAGGGAGTCTGACTCTAGAGTCTACACCTTTAACCATTATACATACTACTCTCCAGTGGAGTGTAACAACATCCTTGTCTTCAGTTTCTGACAATCATTATCTCTTTTGAATTATCCATCTTTATTCTGTCATTATCCCTTTTTTGTTAGCCACTTCAGACTCCTTGCTGTTCCCCTAGAATGTCATGTACTTTCATGTCCTGTACCTTTGCCTGAAACTATCATTTTACTTGGAAATTAATTTCACAATTTGTTTATTGAACACATTTATACTTATATTTTAAGGCCTTACTTAAAGACTATAACTGCTGTAATTTCTTTCACCTGTTTGAAACATAAGCAATTGGTCCCCTATTTAAATTCCCATAGCACTTTATGTATAATTCAATTATACCATTTGCTACCTTATAATTTACCAGTCTGTCTTCCCATCTCCAATATGAGTTTTGGAGGCCAGGGATTGTGTATCATTTGACTATCTCTATCTCCAGTATAGTGACTGGCATATAGTAGATGTTCAGTAAATATTTGTTGAAATGAATTGCATGTGATAAAAGGGTTTTTTTTTTTTGAGTCAGAGTCTCACTGTCACCCAGGCTGGAGTGCAGTGGCACGCTCACGACCACTGCAACTTCAACCTGCTGGGTTCAGGTGATCCTTTCGCCTCAGTCTTCCAAGTAGCTGGAACTACCGGCACATGCCACCATGCCCGGCTAATTTTTTTAATTATTGTAGAGATGAGATCTCACCAAGCTGCCCAGGCTGGTCCCGAACCCCTGGACTCAGACACTCTTCTTACCTCGGCCTCCCAAAGGACTGAGATTACAGGCTTGAGCCACCATGCTCGGCCGATAAAAGTTTTTTTTTACTGCTCGTTAGACATGTCAACTTGGTTACTCAATTTACCCTAAAACTCAGTATGTCTAAAAACAAAGTTATCATCTTCCCTCTAGATCTGGCTCCCACTTCTGAGTTCTTATTTTTTTGTCAATGCTAGTATCATTATTGCAGTTACTCAGGTTTAATAAACTCTGACTTCTACTTCTCCTTTATCCCTCACATAAATTCATAGCAGCCCCAAAACCCTTCTCTCCTTTATTTTACTATCTCACTAAAGTTCTTCTGGTAATATAGTAAGGATCTGAGCCAAGGAAACAATAGGTTGATGTTGTTATCACCCTTTTGGACTATTATTGCAAAAGCCTCCTTAATTAATCTCCCTAGCTCCAGAATCTTTTATTTGCCACCCATCCTCAGAATTCTTCCTCTACTCTGAAGTCAGGAAAAATCATCCTCGTCTTCATCATCAAACATATATCAAGCATCTTTTGTGTGCAACGCATTACGTTAAGGCTCTGCCCTCAATACATTTGCAATCTGGAAGGGGAAGAGCCACATACATATAAAAGAAACTAGTCATGGTAGCATAACTTAAATACTAAATAAGTGATGTAGACTATAATCTACAGAAATTGAAAGGTAAGATCATTTTGGTGGGGAAGTGGATGAAAACAGCATGAATAAAATGGAACTTGGATTGAACTTTAAAGATGGAATAAGACTTAGATTTAAAAGAGAGAAGGAGGGAAATTTCAAACAAGCAAATGAGAATGAACTCAATTCCCGAGGCAATAGACTATACTTAAATAATATTTTTGAAGGGAGGAAAGTAAGGTGGTGAGAGAATGACCAAAGTTAACTTCTGTTAGGAAGATGAACTTGGATTGATTTGATGGGGGGTAAAGGTAAACTTGAAGATGATTTAGCAGGCAATTGTGATGTGAACAGGACTCAAAGAGGATACCAGAATTGAATGGAAGTATCCAATATGAGAAGAATTTACTTTGACTCTCTTATAACTGGTACAAAACCTTACAACAACTACTTGAGAAACATTTACTGATTGATTTAGTACAGTACAAACAAATAAAATCAAGAATGTCAAACATTAGAAAATAAGAGGGAGGCCCTCCTCCCAAAATACAATTTATTTATAAAAATTGTGTAATTATTCTTACATGTTTAAGCTTCAGTCACCTTCAAAGTACTCTCTGTTTGATGCAATATACCTATCGAGATGCTTTTTCCACTGCTCAAAACAGTTTTTAAACTTGTCCATTTTGTTGCTTTTTAGGGCTTCTGCTGTTTTTTTGTTTCACCTCTTCCACATTGGCAAACCATTTTCCTTTTTTTTTGAGTTGGAGTCTCACTCTGTCGCCCAGACTGGAGTGCAGTGGCCGCTCCCGGCCACCGCAGCCTCGACCTGCTGGGCTCTGGCGATCCTTCCGCCTCAGCCTTCCGAGTAGCCGTAATTACAGCCGCGCGCTACCACGCCCAGCTGATTTTTTGATTTATTGTAGAGATGAGGTCTTGCTGCCCAGGCGGGTCTCGAACCCGCGGGCTCAGGCAATCCATTCACCTCAGCCTCCCAAAGGCGCGGGATTACAGGCTGAGCCACCGAGCCCGGCTGGCAAACCATTTTTCTTTGAGAACTTTTTTCATCCAGGCAAACAAAAAAAAAGTCGGTTGGGACAAGATCAGTGAATAGGGAGGGTGGGACTTGGGGACCATGCCATTTTTTGGTAAAACAAAACAAAACAAAAACTGCTGAACACTCAGCTCAGTGTGGGCAGGTGTGCTCATAAATAACCCATCATGAAATGGGCAAACACATTGAAAGAATCTCCAAAAAAATTTAACTGAAGCCAAATACAGCCTCTCAAAACAATGCTAGCTGGTACACTGATGTTGATGGGTTCTTAGAACTCTTACTTAGCAGGGGAAGCCTGTACTACAAGGGGCCTGTCCTGCAAAAAATAATTCCGTTGTGTTTTTTTTTATCCGTGCCCTTGTATACTCTAGTGAGAACATTTTGTAGAGAAAATGTAAGCTGAAATGAGGGGGCTAGGATGGGAACAGTTTTTTGGACAGTCACATCAGGGGAGATGAAACAACTAGGCACAACTAGTAGAGTGGAAACTTGACTGAAGAAGCAAAA